CAGCCATTAGCTCACTGAGCCTGGATGAATCATTGAAGGAATGGAATTGATCAGGCAGATAGATTGCAGTGCATAGTTAAGAGTCTCCTAAGAAGGGAGGTGGCAGAAATCCAGCATCAAATAGATGATGAAATGGCCTTTTCCATTAAGGGAACATCACATCACAGATATTAATTAGAAGGCACTATAATAGAGTTAAGTGGATGTGGGGGGAAAATGCTGAGTTAAAAGTAACCCCGGATGTCCCTAGCCTCAAGTAATTATAGATGTGAAGGTGAATCATGGATTTGCAATTTTCCGTTCATTTTACAATAGCTATAGGTAAAGCAGAGAACAGATATAACTCCAGCATGATGATCTTATTTTTTAGACTGGGGACAAGTTATCTTTAAAAAAACAAAAAAATTCTAATGTTTTCCTTTTACTATTCTGAGGAAAATTACATCTTTTATTTACAGTGACACTAATGGGAGATGATAAGAGACCTACTATTTTCCTAGTAAAGAAGAAATAAAGCAAATGAAACAAATTAGCTTTGAGTTTAAATGTCCAGCATTCTACCAACTTTTTTATTGTAAGGATGTAAACTCATCTTTAAAACCGATGAAATATTCTGTTCTGAGTCTTTAGTTCAAATAGAGCTTAGCTGCTAAAAATTAAAAATCTTTTAAAGCATTACTTGATAATACCCAAACGCTAGAGACAGCCACATTCCAGACCTTCAGAGCTCTCTAAAACATTGTAAGACTCATATTCAAAGTACCTATTGGCCCAACAATGGATTTATGACAATTTAAGTTTTTTATTCTGCAATCCCTTGCACTTTCTTTTCCCCTGATATCTTCCAGCTGCATTCTTCCTATCTGTACACATAATAAATAATAATTGCAGACAGGTAACCAGTAAGTGAGTTGATACAACAGTGAAAACAGAAGGGTTTGATCTTTACATTTTGGCACAATACGGATCACAACCTCAGAATTTTACATGAAATATTTAAGTTACTGACTTCAAATAGTTGAGGCTCTATCCAAGAGGAAATTTCTTTGCTGAGATTCCATTCTTTTTATTTACTTATTCATTTATTTATTTGACAGAGAGAGAGAGAGAGAGAGGGAGAGATCACAAGTAGACAGAGAGGCAGGCAGAGAGAAGGGAGAAGCAGGCCTCCTGCTGAGCAGAGAGCCCGATGTGGGGCTCGATCCCAGGACCCTGAGATCATGACTCGAGCTGAAGGCAGAGGCTTAACCCACTGAGCCACCCAGGCGCCCCTGAGATTCCATTCTTAATTTCCTACATAAACTTAGAAAATTAACAATTTATGTCCCCAAAAGAGCAGAATCACAGAGATATTATGACAGAAGATATTCCAAAAATGTGGAATAACTTGTTGACGGCCTTTTTTTTTTTTCCTCCAACAAGCACTTACCAAAGGTAAGGATGCATCAGCAAAAATCATTAAATAAAAACCTCTGAAAATTTTCTCTTCCATAAAAGCAATGAGAACACTGGCAAAATTTTAAGAATCAATATTTTCTGAACCGTGGGAATTAACCAAAGGCTTGCAGCAGTCTGAGGAGGGTTTATATAAGAAAAATTGGCTGAATTTTGGTAAAAACAATGAGCTTTGTGACATTTTAATTCTCCCTATTCTCATTCCATTCTCCTGAGCTCTAGAGTAGCCTTAAAAACCAATAGTTTGGTCTGTGAATGGCAGGCTTATACTTTTATTTACTTCTTTGACCTATCTTTTTGAGATTTTCTCTATTGACACTTTATTCTATAATAATAATAAAAAAAAACCCAATAGTTTATAATCATAGTAAAAACCATGAACAGGGTCAGAAGAGTGATGCAGCTCCTTCAAAGCCCCATTCTCAGAAAACTGTCATCAGCTGACCTTTCTGGTGGCTCCCTGGAAGACCTCACTGGTAAGCCTATCTCTATTTGACTTGACTTGGAGCTTAACCAGTGTAAAAAGCCTAATCCCCATGGCTTTTGCTGAAAACAATTACATGCAATTGCTTAACAGTATGGCTACCTGAGGCAGTAGACATCAGCTGGGGCAAATAATAGGCTAACCAAGAAGTTTCAAAGGAAAAGCTGACAAATGAGATATCTATAAGGGGCTTTAAAAAATTCTTAGTATCCCTAGGAATCCAGAAGTCTACATGTATGACTACAGCTGTGTACATGCTCACGAAAGACCCGAGAATGTCCTAAGCTCACTACTCTAACCTTGAGGCTCTGTACAAGCAAGAAATGAAGTGCCAAGTGAAAGCAGAAAGCAAATACCAATGGCCTGGTAGAGTGTTGAAGATGAGCCCCAGTGTGTACACAGAGCCCTTCAGAAAAGATGGAATTATTGTTTCTAAGCCAATCTTAATCCAATCATTAGCAAACCACTAACATAACTAAGCAGAGACTTTAATGGCCATACATGAGAAAGAATACAGATTTTACAGAATTAGTTTAGGAAAGTCACTAAATAACAACAGCAAACAGCAACAAAAACAAACCCTGGGGGAAGGGGAAAATCTGATTCTGAGAGTTGCTACATTATTAAAATGTCAAATTTTCAACAAAAAATTGAGATATGCAAAGAAAAGAGAAAGTAAGGTTAACTACTCAGGGAAAAAAAAAGTAGTCAACTGTAACTATACCTGAGAAGCCCAGATATTAGACTTAATAAATAAAGACATTATATTAGCTATTTTAAATATTTTTAAAGAACTAAAGGAAATTATATCTAAAGAACTAAAGTATGCAAATAATGCCTCACAAATAGAGAAACTCAAAAAGGAGAAATTATTAAAAAAAAAAAAAAAGAAGAAGAAGAACCAGGGGCACCTGGGTGGCTCAGTCAGATAAGCACCTGCCTTCTGCTCAGGTCATGGTTTCATCATGGGCTACCTGCTCAGCAGGGAGTGTTTCTCCCTCTGCCCCTCCCCTGACTTGTGCGTCCATATACGCGCTCTCTCTCTCTCAAATAAATAAATAAAATCTTTAAAGAAGAAGAAGAAGAAGAACCACCAAACAGAAATTCTGGAGTTGACAAGTACAGTAACGGAAATAAAAAATCTCATTGGAGGGATTCAAAAACAGATTACAGCCAGCAGAAAAAAGAACCTGTAAACTTGATGATTGGTCAGTGAAGACTGTCCTGTCTGAGGTAGAGAAATAACAGAGAATGAAGAAAAATGAACAGAGCTTCAGAGATCAATAGGACATCATCAAGTGTACCAACATACGCACAATTATATGCTATTTCTATATTTTCATTCTCCTATCACCTGTCTTGCCTTTTTCATTATTTTATTATGAAACTGGTGTAAATACAATTTTGTTTCTGTACTTTTTTGGCATAACATAAATCTGTGAACTTGAAATTTTAATTTTGTGTTAGAAAATTTGTTTGTTCTTTGTTTAGTCTTGTCTCAGATTTTATTATGTAAATCCCATTATTCAAAGTTGCCTAAATCCATTTAGAAATCTTTAAAAAAAAAAAATTGGGGATTCTTAAAGTGAATTTATTGGCTTTTCTGATCCAGTTTTGTTTGGACCAAAAACCAGTATTGTACAAAGTATTAAGCATATATTTTTATATTTACTGAAATGGACTGTGGTGACTTTGAATAATAAGGAAAAGTTTAATATTAAAGCCATGTTTATTACAGTATACTTAACATGTTAAACCATGGGATAAATGCCATCAATAAAAAATTATGAAATTTAAAAAAAAGACGAAAAAAGGAACAGAATGAATATTTAAAGAAATAGTGGTCAAAAATATCCTAAATTTATCTAAACATTCAAGCAGCTCAATAAACTCTAAGCAGGATAAAAATCAAAGAGATCCTAAACACATCATAATCAAACTGTTCAAAGACAATGAGAAAATCTTAAAAGTAAAATATAAGGAACAAAATTTAGATACTTTCCTGAAGGTTACCTGCAAATATATCTGAAGCAATGACAGTGGCTTCAAGTTTAGATCTCAGAATCTTAGTTCTGGCATGTACCTCTTTAGAGGTAAATTAGTTGAGTATAAATTTGATTCAACTCATAGGGGATGTTTTTTCTCTCACCGTAATCTTTCAGAATAACAATTAACCAAATTCTCCAACCCAGGTGAGTGTTTAGTTTCCTACACTAATCTCAAAGCAGCAACAGATTAAAAAAGGAAATAAGAAATCCTCTTTTGCAGAAAGAAAAAATGACCAATTATGACTCATATGTGGGAATGTTCTTTTAGGTACTTGAAAAAAAGGCTTAACTCACCTATGGTGGCTGATTAAGAATTTAAGGACTATAAGTTAATCATTAGTTTTTTTGGTAGCTCATTCACAAGAAAATACAGTGACATAGTAGTATCTTAAGCTAAAAAAAACTTAAATAAAAAATTTAAATCTCAATAGACTTCAAGTATAAATTTGACTATATTTCCCTCTCTTCTCCTCCCAACTAACTTAAATCAAGAAAAGCCACTCAGAGAATCACATTTTTTCTCTTAGGATTAGAAATTGGGTTAATAATTAGGTCACTGATTTATTTCTCTTCTATAAAAGCTGTTTCACTGATTCTGACTACTGTAACTGTATTTTTTAAATTTATATAGGTCTTCATATTGAAGTATAACAAAGCACTGTGGAAACATAATGGAAGAACAGTGATAGAATACATGCTCAAAGACATATCACTATCCTCTTTTTAAGGCATTATATCATAAAATTTCAAACTGAAGGGTAAATAAATATATCTTACCCTTGTTCCTTAGATAAAGATGCCAAGAAAGAAAAGGTGGGAATAAAATGTCTTACTCAAGATCAGGCAAATATAACTGTAACAATTTCAAAAAACCAAGAATAAATTAATCAATAAAAATATTGAGACCAATGCCCATGATAGAGAATAGCAATATCTGGGTGGCCTCTAGCCTTCATGATAGATACTCATAGTTGAAGAAAACTACTCTATCATACAGACTTCCCAAAACTAACCTGTAATGATAAGACATTCATTGTGATCCAGCACCTCAGTGAAGAGCCGTGAAACAATTAACTCGGGGTTGATTAAAAAGCGGATTTCTTCTTGCACAAGTCCTGCACCGGTTACACCACCTCCAACAAAACGGTTTGCAAAATCCACCTATTTGGGAAAATATGGCATGTTAAATGATGATCCAAAATACCTACATATATGATAAAGAAGTACTCTCCCTCTTCCTTTCATTTCCCATGTAAATCAATCCCCAAATTAGTAATCTTCCCAGGGAGAATAGGTTGTGGTTTACTTTACTCTTTCCATCTCATTGCAGTTAGTATCTCTGCTTCTTCCTTTGGATTCTAAAACCTTAGAAGGAACCTGAAAAATGGAGCTTTTAGGCAAAAGCCTCAACGTAATTATATAGACTTTTGTTTACAAACATTTTATGTACTCCAAGGACCACAGATCAAGGAAACTTTATTTGGAAAGGTTTCAAGATCATTTCTACACCATTCACTATTCAATTTCCATTTATGGGTTTCTTATGACTTTCATATAATTATTTCTTTCTTACATAATATGGCAATCAAACACTTGTCCTAAAGAACTGAGAAACTTAATAACTGCCCTTTTTTGGGCAACCTTTTTCTTCTATGAAAGAATAAAGAGATGGAAATTTCATCCTAAATTCAGCTGCAAATCCCAAACTGTGTAAAATTACAAACTATTTTTTTAATATAGCTAAGGAAAAAATGAAAACAGAAAACCTAGTTTAACAACAAAGATTCATAATTTGGCTACTGTTGATAATGCTGCTATAAACATCAGAGTACATGTTTAGAGCCCAAATGTCCACCAACTGATTAATGCACAGAGAAGAGTGGGTGTGTGTGTGTGTGTATGTGTGTATGTAGAAATAAACAAACTGGAATAGTACTTAGCCATAAAAAAGAATGAAATCTTGCCATTTGCAACAATGCAGATGGAGCTAGAGAGTATTATGCTAAGTGAAATAAATCAGTCCTAAAAAGACACATACCATATGATTTCACTCATGTGGAATTTAAGAAACAAAACAAATGATCATGAAGTAGGGGGGCACAAGAAAGACACAAACCAAGAAACTACAGAGCATAAACTGCTGGTTACCAGAGGGGAGGTGGGAGAGGGAACAGATTATATAGGTGGTAAGAGATTAAGGAGTACACTTGTGATATGTACTGGGTATTGTAATTAAGTGCTGAATCACTAAATTGTACTCCTGAAAGTTATATTACACTGTATGTTAACTGGAATTTTAAAAAACTTTAAAAAAAAACCCAAAGATTCAACTACATTACTATTTCTAATAGTAATTACTAATTTACTAAATTACTAATTTAACTAAATTACTAATTTAGTTAAAAATTATGCATAAGCCTTCTGTGGAGTACTATTACTATAATGGGATCCCCAAGCTCCTATTAATAAAAATGAATTACACAATCCTCAAGAGAAAGCAAACTCAGCACTGTTTGTCTTAAATTTACTAAGCACTCCAATGTGTCCAACACCAGGCTAAGCTCTATGGAGCAACATGTAAGAAATGGTTTCCAGCTTTGCCTTATTCTATTCAAGGACCTAAGATTACACACATACACAACACCTTGTGTACATACATAGCTATGCACATGCAAAAAGAATTTGGTAAGTAATGTAAGAAAGGCTTATATACTATATAGAAAAAAATACTCCTGTGTTTCTCCTTTCCTCTTACACTACTACCACACTCACAACACTTCTGTCACCAGATGTATGGGTTTCCACACATCAAGAAATTCTGAAATACCAGCGAGGTGTCCTATAATTCAATTCAGTTCTAACATCATCTACCAGAAGTTCACATCACATACCGCAAGGCTAAGGATTAAGTCCCACCAATACTGCCCCACTTCAGACACCAACTGCAAGCCCACGTTATCAATTAAACTTCTAGTTGGCCAGCTATAAATTGGGGTTCCCATGACATGCTCCTGTGGTTTGATACAGCAGCTCAAAGAACTCAGGATAATACTTACTTATGTTTACTGATTTATTAAAAAGGATATAATAAAGGATATAGATGAATACACAAATGAAGTGATATATATGGCATTGTAAGTGGGAAGAGGCATAGAGCTTCCATGACTTTCTGGAAAGGAACTTTCCTAGTACTTCCACATGTTCACCAACCTGGAAGCTCTTTGAATCCTGTACTTTTGGGGGAGTTTTGTGGAAGCTTCATCACTTAGGTATGATCAATCATTAACTCAGTTTCCAGTCCCTCTCCCTTTCCCAGAAGATGGGGGTGGGGTAGAAAGTTCCAAACCTCTAATCATGGCTTAAATCTTTTTGGTGACCATCCCCCATCCTGAAGCTATCCATGAGTTCACCAAGAGTCACCTCATTATAACAAAAGACACTCCTATCACCTAGGAAATTCCAAGGGACTTAGGAGCTCTGTTTTAGGAATCAGGGTCAAAGATCAAATATTAGAACAAAAGATGTTCTTAGTGCTCTTATCAGTTAGGATATTACTAGGGTTTTAGGAGCTCCCTGCAAAGAACGAGGGGTAGAGACCAATATATATTTTTTCTATTATTTTACATAACCTCGAGACTATTGTCAAATATAAGATTTCTTAACATTGTTTGTGTCCTCTAAAGCAATTATGATACTACATGGTAGTTTGAAGTCTGTTTTATAAAAGAACAAAACAAGAATATGAATCTTTTGATATATAAAAATATATGTGAAAAGACAAATTAATAGAAGGTAAAATAATCTTTCATTAGAGAAGAACTTGAAAACACTGAAAAATGACTGGACAAGTTCTGGAAACGAGTTATCACAGACAACCATATATATTTTATACTCTGACATACTAAATCAACAATAAAAAAAGATTAATTCTTTGCCTTATATAGAAAAATAATTTTGACTGAACTAGTCCATTGATTAGAATTAGTTGCTTACAATGTATAAGGTATACATTGTGTGATTTATGGCTTAAAATGTTCAACAAAGATCAACTAAATATTGTGCTGGGAACCATGTGATACAAAGATGAGTATCACATGAGCCCTGACTTCAAAGCATCTGTAATCTAGATGAGATCCCAGCACATAAGCAGAATAAGATGATTATTAAAGAACCTACTAGAATGTATTAGATCCTTCCCAAATAATACAAATAATACAATTAACTATAACTGGAGCATGGGGACATGGCATTCAAACCAGATTTTGCTGACATTCAGGGAGAGGGAATAACTGCATAAGGACATGGGAAAAAAACAACTGTACAGAGCTACATGCAGACAGTGTTAAGCAGATTATGGATGTCTGTCTGCAATGTAGAGTATGTGAAGGATTACAGCTGCTGATGATGTATTCTGGGGTCAAGGAAAGTTTTACTTAATTTTGAAGATTCTTAGAAAAATTCTAGGAAGAAAAGTTACAATGGGACTGGGTTTTAGATAGATAATTCAGGCTAGAGTTTAAAGAATGAATTGGAAAGGAGTAAAATTAAAAGCAGAGAGGCTGGTTAGGTGACTACTGAATAGTTTAGATAAGCACTTACTAGGGCCTCAAACAGGTCAATGGGGAAGAAAGTGAAGGAATGAGAGACCAAAAAACTAAAATGGACAGCACCTGAAAATTAAGAGACCAGCTAAGCATAGCAGAACTGTGAATACAAATGAGAAACAAACAAGGTTTGAGATCAGCGAAACTTAATTTTTACTGGAACAACGTACATAACTAAAATTTAAAAATAAGTTCTATCCAACTATGTACAACTTGGTAATGACAAATGAAATATATTCAATGTGCATACATTTATTCATTCTTTGAATAAAAGGCCAAGATTTATTACTTGAAAGGTATCCATAGAAATAAATACATTATACTAAACTCAATATGCCTCTGAATGCAGGAGTCTTTTAGAAAATCAAACTTTCTACTACTTAAAAAAGTTCTTAATAAAAGTCTCTCTATTACAGGTGAGAAACTTGTTCCAGTATAGAAAACAAGCATATGAGGGCTTCTTTATTTTTAGCTATTTTCCAACTTACTTTAAAGCTACTTGTTCAGATTACTCAGTTTCTGAATTATAACTTGATGAAAAGGGAGAAATGATAACAATCCTTAGAGAGGTTTTGTTGTTATTGCCATTCAGCATAATGTAATTTATATGCTACACAAGGAGCTTTGTAATATTGCAATACAATATTCCCCGATCTCCTGGGGATACATGGCATGGGTAGGGAGAATAATTAATAGAAGGCTTTATGGTATTCTTTTAATCTACTGAGGTTTCGCATTTCATCTATAATATATTCCAGAAAAGTGGGAAGAATCTCAACCTTGAATGTTGCTAAATAATTCCCCGCTGTATTGTATTTTGATGAAAGGTCAGCATTCCTGTGGCGCTAACTAGCAGTAGCTTTGTTTACTTCATGTGTATTAAGACTCCCTCAGTTAAATCTAAGACTTTAATGTAGAAAAGAACGTCATCAAGATGGAAATGTGGGGAAAAAGTAACATTCATTTGAAACAAATTTTAAGCATATTTCAAAATTACTGTTTAAGAAAAAGTAATGATTAAATACAAAATTTAAAAAATTTTAAGTGCCAGACAAATATTAATTCAGTTATCTGTTTGTTAACAGTATTTGTTTATAATATCAAAAAATTACTGGGAGAGAATGATTAAAACAAAATATGGTTTTCCCCTTTGAAGATTTTAGTTATGTCTTTTAAAAGGCCATTCTAAAAAGAATCTCAGTTTCATTAAGCACTGAGAGCATAAATACATCATAACTAGCCAAATGCAAATGAGTCTAGTCATTTTACAGTACACATTAAGTTATTCAAACAAGTTAGTCCATTCTCAGGAAACTGATCTAGCTTCTGACCCAATGTAAGCACCAAATAAGGATAAGAAAGTCCTTTTATCAGGTATCAGGAGAGAGGACTTTCTTATCAATCAGTTTTAGATGTCTGCCTCCTAAGACCTAAACAAGGTTGGTGGCAGAAAAACATTTCAAGCTGGTCATCATTTGGGGCAGAGCAAAGCCTTTAAAGAAAAAGAACAAAACTGCTTGGTGACGGCTTGTCAAGACCATACTCTGGGAACTTCCTCCACTGTCAATCTACATCAATGTCTGAACTAAGAGGCCTGATGTTGTCCAGATCTTAAGATATTCTGTCAAAGGCTTTTTAAAGAGGTGCACGTTAAGAAACAGTGCATGCTGGCAAATAACAGTATTATCAAGGCTGTCAAAATGATCTGTTAGGCGTTTTTCTCCATTCTGCTATCATGCTTCTTTGCATTAAATCAGTTTAGGAGATAAATAAACAGGTTTTCATATTTCCTTTGCTGTCAGAAGCTTGACAACAGTAAGTCCCAAACACACACATACTGTTGTGATTCACCTACCTGTAGCATGCCTTGGCCATTTCCTTCTATGGTACCTTCATAAGTGACATGCAATCGAGTCAGGGGTTTGTCACATCTACAATTTAAAAAGACAATTCTTTACTTTTAATGACAAGCATTTCACTATGGAAAAATGTAAAAATATATGTAACTAGAGAAGAAATATTGAAACCATTCCAAATCTTAAAAGCCAGAAACAGATGCCTGGTTAACATTTTTGATATAGATTCTCCCAAACTTTTTCTTATTCAAATATTAAATATACATATTTAAATTAAAATGGGATAACATACTGTTTTGAAACCCATTTTTCTCCTACAAAATAACAGTGTCTCTACTTTAAGAATTGAAAAACTTCTCAAAATGTAAAATAAATTATGATCTATGCAATATTACTATTTTGCTAGAGTTGGCAAACTAAAGAAAAATTTGGCAATAAATCATATATGATATTGAGATGGGGTCTATTTTTACTAGTTTGGTAAACATGAATGAATGTGATGGGGGTGTTTTGATGAATACACAGGCCACAGAAATCCGATCTATGGTATTTTTATATTAATAAAATTGATGAATGAAACCAGTATCTTTAAGTCATAATTATTTTCGTTCCCTTTCATTGACCAAGGTCACTGACATGCTACCCCAAAATGTGGCACAATGGGATATCAAATATTTTAGGCTGAATTAAGTTTGAGAAAATGGCAGAAGCAGAAGGGTCACTATGAGCTCTTCCCCCACTCACAGTTCTTCCTACGTGTAATAAAACCTCATGTGCAAGATGCCCACCCTGTATTTGGAGGAAAGAAATAACCTTATCCAAAGAAAAAGGGATCCCAAGAATTCCAACAAATGGGCCTTGTGAAGTTTTCCCTGGATAACTACAATTACCTCATACTTCTTAATCTGTCAAATTCCTCAGACATGTCCACGCTCCATTGAACCTAGCATAAAAGTATGTGGGTCTGTTTCTTTGGGCCTTCATTTCCTTAAGAAGGTTCTTGTGACATGTAAAACTTATATTAAATAAATGTGTGCTTTTTTCCTGTTAATCTTTGCCCTTTTAATTTTCAGACTCAGCCTGGGACCCTAGCTGGGTCAAGAAAAAACTTTTTCCTCCCTTATACTGTTTAACCTAGCTTACATTTTATTAAAAAACTAATTCCATTTTATTAATAGTATTTGATGATGATATTTTTCAAGTAACAGATTTTCCCTAATTACTTAATAAAAAATATAAATTAAGATAGAATATAACAGATGAGATCCAAACCCCTAACTTATATAAGGGTGGCATTCATTTTGGAGGGAATTATGTATTTTTTAAAACAATTATATATCTTAAAAAATAATTTATCTGGAGAAGCACTATTACTAGGATTTACTTTCTTCCTGACTTCAATGAGTCCAAATACATTTCTGGGGAAGCTCCAGTCCAACAGATTGACAGCCTTAACCAACAGATTGACAGCCTTAAACAGAAGGCAATTCAGTATAGGTTCTAAGAGCTCCGTTTGCATTAACTCATGTAATCCTCACAACAACCCTATTAGTATCTCTTTTTACAGGCACAGAAAGCACTTAAGTAATCTGCCCAAGGCTAGAAAGCAACAAAGCAACAAGGATATGAAGCCAGATAGCCTAACAGTCCAAACTCTTAGCCAGTATGCTATACCTTTAGAAAAATTACTTTCTAAATCTCTTCTAGAAAGTAGTGACACAAGTTTGATCTTTTTTTAACTTCCTTTTTATTTTTTGATCCTACTTTCCCAGCTATTTTATGCTAAGGGAGACCACCCATAAGGATACTATTGAAAAGACAAAGAAGCATGATCCAGAAATTTCTAGTTTGTCAGTTACTACTTCAAAACAGAAATCCTGTCATCAACTATTCTTCATAACTGAAGCTGTGAAAATATAGTACAATTCTCATTAAAATTATGAAATTGCTAGACACTTTTTAAAAAGCATCCTCCAACTTCCTAATTGGCCCAGCAAATCTTTCATATCGTCACAAAGACACAAATGATTGTGACTCTGTGATTACCCAAGGCCATATAAAATATTCACTCATAATCACTGGGTTAACTGTAACATGGCAGAAACTTGGAAATCCAAAAACCCTCTAACCACAAGACACCTATTTAGTCCCTTACTCTTGGAAACACCAACAATCCTCTTCTCTTCTTTATCCTCCCTCTTTAAATGAATACATGTTTCTGGTTCTGTGGTGTCTGGGAGAATGATTAATTACATTCTCCAACTTACTTAAAAAGCAGCTAAAACAAAAAGAGGTCAATGAGACAAAAAAAAAGTTTAAAAAGTTATCAAGTTAAATTGTGCCTATGAAAGTTAAGGGGAATATCTTGATCCTACTTAGGACAAAGTTATCTCACTGAAACAGCAGCCTTGCCAATCTTGGCGTTTGATCTATCCCTTCTCTCCCAAATAGTAATGCACAACTGGATGTCCTTTCACATTAGTGCCAAATTAATGTCAGATGCAGAGCAGAGATCTACAGCTGAATTAAAAACAAGGCCTTGGCATGATCTATAAAATCTATACCAAAGTGAAATGAACAAAACATCTGAATTCCTATCAGATACTAATAGAAAAGCTAAGAAAACCAATCTGTGCTCTGGTCTGGGCAAGTAAGAGCAGACTGTTACTTTCAGCTGTAGATACCATATTTTAGAGGGACCAATGGCCTGGAGTGTATCAAGAACAAAAATAAAGGGTTTTTGAATCCATATCACATGTGAAACAGAAGAAATGAGTAAATTTAGTATGTGCCTGTGTGCACTATTAGAAGTGGGGGTGGGTCCAGAAAGCATGATGATACATGAAGAAGACTGAATGTTAAAGAAAATCAGATTTATTGATTGTGCCTCCAGAAGGAAAAACCAGGAATGGAAGGGACAGTGAGATTCTTTAGAGTACAGAGCTTCTTACTGAATACAAGTATCAGATTAACTTGAGCAGCCAACATTGGGATACACTGAGGTGACAGTATGTTTCCCATCACTGAAGCTGTCTGTCATATGTCACAGATATTATAGAGGTGATTGATATTTTTAGTAGACAGCTAGGCCAGATGATTTCCTGGGGTCCCTTTCATCTCTAATATGCCAAGACTCTAAAATGCTATACATGTTCTCTTTCCTTCTGGCTCAATTTTTTGTTTTTATCTTCCACTTGTTTAATCTTTTACCCACTTCCCTCTACTAATAATCGTCTCAGCCATGCAGTCAGCCTCCTAAAGTAAGTTTTTCTTTCACCTCACAAATAAACATCTTTGATGAGTAAGAAACACCACAAGAAAGCCACTTAAGTAGAAGTGCTTCATCAAGTTAACTCCCTTAAAAGTGAGTCCCTTTCATCATGAATTCCAAAGGAAACAATTACAAACTATTATAAAAATTATGAGAAAGTGAAACTGAGAGTTAACACAAATGCATATGCAAAATATGCATTTAGTATGTTTGATCATGTCCTCATGTATGATGAAAAAGTTGATCTACTCTTCTTTAAGTGCTCTGGGTATCTGATCTAGATTAGGAAATGTATTAACTAGTTCAGGGCACAAAGGAACTTACAAATCTGAATAAACTCAGACTGGTTATTATTCTTCTGTTATTTGCAGGTAAATAATAATAAAAAAAAACTCCAGTAAATTGGCAACCTCCACAAAATCTGCCAATAGTATATGTGAACAGCCAAACTTCAAAATTCTTATCATTCAGACAAATTCTAGGTAACTACTATTTACATTTTATTTTAACGAAGAAATTTCCCCCGATCTTGTCCTCCAGAACGAAAAGCCATGAAATACAAATATAGTAACCAAAAGAGTAGGGTAAGGATGAATATCAAATATTGGTGTTCTAGGGGCGCCTGGGTGGCTCAGTCAGTTAAACATCTGCCTTCAGCTCAGGCCATGATCCCGGAGTCCCTGGATGGAGACCCACATTGGGCTCCCCACTTGGCAGGGAGTTTGCTTCTCCCTCTCCCTCTGCCTGTGGCTCCCCCATGCTTGTGCGAGCACTCTCTCTCTCTCTCAAATCAATAAATAAAATCTTTAAAAAAATAAATATTGGTGTTTTAGTTAGTATTAGTGCCTTCACACAAAACTAAATAGGACTTTGCTTCAGAAGAAAAAAAATAAGGCGAAGAGTAGAAATCAAAGGCTTACAGACTTTGATTCAGACAGCATGAACTTTCCAACAACGAGCGCTAACAATGGATCATTTATAGGAATATCCCTAGCACTACTGCAATTAAGAGGTTGGGAAACCATCTTTCCAGGAGCTGCAAAATAGAATCCTATTACGGTAAAAGAGTCCTTCTAATTCTAAAATTCCCGGATTATTTTTATTATTATTACCTTTCCCACTCTGGAAAATCTTCAAGACTCTGTCTTGTAAATGTCACCAAGCCAGTAGGTTCTACAAAGGCAATAAAAAAAGAAAAAACAACAAAACAAAACAAAACAAAAAAACACCCAAAAGAAGTTTGATATTGGAAAGATTATATACATTCAGTAAAAAAATGGGCCTAACAATGGTTATAAAACTAATTAGAAAAATACCAAGCTTAGTGTTAAAATACAACAGAAGACTGATTTAAAATAATATTACTCTTATAGTAGAAACTCTTTCTGCAAAATAGTAAGCCCTCATTAAAACACAAAACTATACAAACAGCACAATGGTACTTACTGGTAAAGTTTTCTAAACTGAATACATTTGTAAAAAGTCATTGAAAAAAAAGGTGCATTAATGAGTGTAGCTTATACAACAAAGACAAAACTAAATTTAATTTGTAGACTCCTCAAAGAAAGGTCTTAATCTTACAACTAAAGATTGGTGAATATATAAACATTTATGCATTTTACAATAAAATAAAATGTCTGTGATTAAAAAAGAAAATTGTTGGCATGCCCTTCGGAGTTGACAAAGCTAAATCCAGGGCTTAGATGACATGCAATTGCTCTACTTACAAGGCATCTTAGCTGGAAGGAGGAATTACTGGGTTCTAAGAGGTTAGAGAAGAAAGATGACATAGTTTTTAAGGAGGAATAGATATGAGGGGATCAAAACGCAGTATATTTTAGAGGAAGGTGATCCTTTTTTGTTCGGTTTACTTTTTTTTTTCCTAACTAGTGGCAAAGGCAACAAATAAATCAGTAGGCCAAAAGTAATTTGATTCAAATCAAAGAACAAACTAAAAAGGCCAGGCCACTTCTGTTTTCTTCTGTTAAAAAAAAAAAATAATGCAAGCAAGAAAGAGAAAATCTATTAAGCAAAGAGAGATATGTCAGGAACTATTAGTGATAATGGTGGCAGAGACCCAATGAAAGCTTGACAACCATTTCATTCCTCTGGATGATTCCACATTTCTCTACTCTCAGTCACAAGCAGTAATAACACAAAAATCATATGGAATAATTAGAGTAGAACATTAATGGGTGACTTTTATTAATATGGGTTATAAAATATGCTTAAGATTTCCTTAAGAAATTTCTCTAAGGCAAATAGATAATATATTTAAAACTTACACAAGATCAAACAACTCAAACACCAGAGAAGCAATTCCATTAATAAAAAATTAATGTCAATATCATCATTCAGTAACTTAACAGATAAGTAAGAATATTAAATGTCATTCATATATACTAAAAGGTCCCAAAAGAAATTCCTAAATGAGTATCACTGGCAAAGCCAGAAAAAAGGCAGAACATGGCTCTTTAGGTATAATTAAAAAAAAAATACTTAGCATTCTTATCACCTTTCTTCCATAAAAAGGTAACTTTTACGCTAGAATAGGTTATTTTAGTTAATCAAGTATTTCCCTTAATAAAAGCATAAAACAAACTGCATATGAATCACCAATTTTTAAATACTCCATCTATAAGACACTTTATCTAAAACTATACTAAAAATAATTCAGAAGGCCCTTGAAAATCTTTCAACTTCAAGATCCTCATTAAAAATATAAACATTTGGGGCGCCTGGGTGGCTCAGCAGGTTAAAGCCTCTGCCTTCGGCTCAGGTCATGATCCCAGGGTCCTGGGATCGAGCCCCACATCGGGCTCTCTGTGAAGCAGGGAGCCTGCTTCCCTTCCTCTCTCTCTGCCTGCCTCTCTGTCTACTTGTGATCTCTGTCAAAT